AGACGACTTTATTAGTCGTCTGCCGAGGCCCTTAGTTTCATCATCTTGGCTTCCACGGAGAGTCATGACTTGATCAGTTCTAATACTCATTTGTTTGTCTTTTTGGCCATCCATTGTTTCCTCAGCAATCTTATCCAGCACCACATCTCAAATGAGTTGATTCTATCTACTTTATTCACTGTCCAGCTCTCACATCCATGCATGGTAATGGGGAATTCAGTGTCTTGGATGAGTCCAACTTTAGTGCTCAGTTGTACATCTTTACACTTTAGTATCTTGTCTAGTTCTTTCTTTGCTTTCTTACCCATTCCTAGTTTTCTTATTTCCTGACTGCAGTCACCATATTTGTCAGTGTTTGATCCATGGTATGGGAACTCTTTAACTGTTTTGATTTCCTCATTGTCTAGGTTGAACTTATGTAGATCCTCTGTGGTCATTCTTTTTGTTTTCTTTATGTTCAGCAATAAGCCTGTCTTTACACCTTCTTTTAAATAAAAATTCTGAATAGCACTCCCTAAATTGCATTACAGCATTGCATAGGATGGAACCATGGCAGTTAAAGTGAAGTCATAATACTATGATTGTGTAATGTGAAAGGGTCCTAAAGAGACTAGTGTAGCAACAGAAAAGAAGTCCATTCCTTCAGAAGGAAATAGGATAAAGAACAGGACCACAAAGGCTACTCTTAATCTCCTGGCATAACAGGATGTGGGATAAAATATCTATAAGCAACTTTTCTCTCATATTGTACCCAGTTCTGACCTTGAATACATTAGATTCCTTTTATCTTACCCTAATCAAATAGAACCAAACCTGTTTGTCTTTGCTGTGAATTACTGCACATATTGCTATAAAGGATTGCATTGAGTGGGCTGGAAAGCAACACATACTAGCCCTTGCCAGGATAATCTGTGGTGAGGAATTATGGGAGTTGCAATTTAACAACATTTAAACAAGAGGATTTTTCATTCCTGGCAAAAAAAAAAACTTTACTTACTAGCAATTCGTTTTCTCCCTGCAGTTTTGTGATACATGTTAGAATGAGAATCACTGTTTCTACAGGTAGGTGACAGTGGAGGAGTCTTGGAACAGCTCTCTTTGGAGGAGGAAAATCGCAACATTCAATTAAAGTATGAAGAGGTTAAAAAGTAAGTGTATCCTGCTGCTGCCTTCAGAATTTTTTCTTGCCTTTCATTTTGTCATAATCCTCACTTCTATGTTTACTTGATTAAAAGAAAATTAGAAGAAATGGAACTGCAAAACAAAGCACTTGAAAATCAGTTGGCGAACAAAGAAGAGAGTCTTCAGAAAACTGAATTCCAGTTCAACCAAAAAATTGCAGACTGTGAGGCTTTAACCAGACAGCTAGAAGCTGCTTTGGAAGATGGAAGGGAGAAGGTAGAAATTATCTTAAATGTTTGTCTACTTCCTGTTTGAAATCAGAAATTTATCTATCTTAAGAATAATCTTTTGCAAAAGAGGCAGTTGATTCTGTTCTTTAAACACACACACACAACTCACATAGCACCCTTTGGAAGGGGCGGTGGACAGAATAATGGTTATTTATCTTTGAAGTGAGACTTGCCAGCTACACAGTCAGTCAGATTATTATATGTTTTCTCCTATTACCCCCTATTTCCCATACTATAACAAAACTCCTGATATATTGCAAGACTGTGCTTGGAGACATTTCCTGCTTGCTCTTGTGGAAAAACTTGTGGAATAGCACTAATGCATTTTCTCCTTCTCCTTGTTAAACTTTGGAATCAAGCCACTGATTGCTCACTGGTGAGGGAGAGGTACTCTATACATGCCCAAAGGCATTCTTTTCTAATGACTTTTTACATATTCCAAGGTGAGCACTGATATTGAAAATTGGTTCCAGAGCTAGGCTCTGGCTCAAATTAAGCACCAGGAAGGAACACCTTGAACTGATCTATATCATAAACCAGACCCCTACATTCCCCTTAAAAATGCTAATGTGTTGGAGAAGCCATTCTCATATGTTTCAGGCTTTCTTTACAGTGGCACAGTTTAAAATTACCTGAACCACATGTGGCGCATTATAGACAACCATAAAGCAAAACTTCTTTTCTGACCTTATCTTTGCCCATCCCCCGTTTTGTAGTTTTTAAACTCTTATGACTGTGTGAATCCATCCTTTAACTTTGCCAACATTTTTTCCATTATTGGAGTGAAACTCATGACAGTATAATGTGGAAAAGTGCAGCCACATGGCTTCTTTTTTGTGTGTGTTTCCTTATGTCAACATGTGTTTTTTGGTCTGGGTGGTTTGGTTTTGTGGAATGCCCTTCATTTTATAACCAAAAACAGTCTTGTGGGTATAGGGCATTTTTATACTCTAAAGGTGCTACAAATTCCCTTTTCATACTGATTTTCCATACTAATATGGCTATGTCTTTGAATTCCATCACACTACACTGTTACAGCACTATTATTCCAGTTTTACTGCTATGGCTGCCTCCTGTGGAATCTTGGAATTTGAAGTTGAGGGAGGGGCATTTAGAATTCTCAACCAGAGAGCTTTTAGACCTCACTAAACTATGAATCCCAGAATTCCACAGGAGGCAGCCATAGCAGTAAAAGTGGAATAATAACTATGTAGTGTGATATTGTTGACTGGCATGACTGCATCCTGTGGAATCCTGAGATTCATTTTTTGGTGGGGCTTTCAACCTCTCAGGGCACACTACTAGTCAGAACTTCATAATGCTAATATTATAGCTGAAGTAGAATGTTCTTAATGACAAAAGATTATCAACCTGTTGTTCCTATGAATTTGGTATTTTTCCCCATTCTTTAATTTTCTCATGTTAGACAGAGGTATAAAATACTGCAGAAATAATCAATTTTGAGACCGCTTTAACTGCCCTGGCTCAGTGCTAGGGAATTCTGTGAACTGTAATTTTGTGAGAAATTTAGCCTTTTCTCTCAGAGAGCTCTGGTGCGACAAAAAATGACAATTCCCAGGATTCCCTAGCACTGAGCAGGGCAGTTAAAGTGGTCTCAAAACGGATTATTTCTGCAGTGTGTTTTGGACCAGAGTTAATCTTAAAAGTCACTCATTGTAACACATAATAATGTGCTGTTAACATTTGGTATTGAAACTGAAAAGGTTGGCATTTCAGATTGTTTGATTTAAAACAACAGAATTTTTGGGTCACACAAAAGGCTTACATGTTTAATTTGATACCACATTCTGTGGACTGCAGCTTGCTGCATCAGATGGCTGTTATTAAAACTTATGATACAAGTCTTAGCTTTTATTTTTGTAGCTAGCAGAAGAGATGGAAAAGATCACTTCTAAAGAGCAGGCATTTCAGTTGAAAATACTGGATCTAGAAAATGAATTAAGAAAGAAAAAAGAAGAACAGAAACAGCTATCTAGAAGATTAGATGCTGTAAGTAGACCCTCCCCTGCACTCCTCCAAACTTTTGGTATTGCTTCTGATATTGGTTTTTAAAATTTATATCAGTATTGAAATGTATTCTACATGCTCTCAGTTTTCTTTTTTCTTTGTACTTCAGCCATACAAAAACTATACAAACAGCACAACACACCCAGGTTCTAGCACATAATATCTATCAAATCCAAACACATTTTATGTTTACAATAAGCTAGTTTAGCTGTTGCCCTCAGGTTTACAATAAGTTGTCAAATTTTTCAGCTTATCCCAAGTTATTGCACTTTTTGTAGTCTTTGAATGCCAATAAAATATATCTGTATTTGTGGATCAGAGGTTCACTTCCAACAGTGTCTTTTGGTATCTGTTCATTCTGTTCATGTTGCTTCCAAAGTTGGACTAAAATAATGGCACCCATTATTAGCAGATGGATTGTCTGCAGTAGTTAAAGCTTAGATAAAAACATACAGGGCACTCCCATGGTTGTTCTTCCACAAGTTTAGGGAACAGATACTGGGAGGTGGCCCAGAAGTCTATCTATATCAGTAATTCCTAAACTCGGATCCTCTAGGTTTTTTGGACTTCCTCTAGGTCTTTTGGACTTCAGCACCCAGAAGTCTCAGTAATCTTATCCAGTGACCTGGGTTTCTGGGAGCTGAAGTCCAAAACACCTGGAAGGCCAGAGTTTGGGAATCGCTGATCTGCATCATATGTAGCTTTAGTAATCTGATACCACATTAACTATCATGGCTCCATCCTATAGAATCCTGAGATTTGTAGTTTACAGAGAGATCTTACAATTTTCTGCCAGTGAGAGCTATAGTCTACCCTACTGAGTCAGGTACCCCAAAAAAAGAAATTGACGATCAAATCAGTTTAATTTTGTAGTGTAGATAGGCACCAGCTCTCCCTTTTAAGAGACCCTTGAGTGGCTAGTCATCCTTATGTCAGCAGGTGAAAATGTACTTTATTTCCACAGACTTCAGGAAATGACTATAAACAGATGTCTTTATTAATAGTGTGTTGAAGTGTTCTGATTTCCCTTTTCAGGAAGGTGTTTTACATTTTTCTTAATTCTGTAGATAATAATATTTTAACAATAACTTTTAGTATTTTTTATTTTTATTTTTACTTTTACTTGGTTTTTATATTGGTTGTACTTTTTGTAAGCGACCTTGGCTCCAGGTTCTAGGGAAGAAGTGGAATATGAATAAATAAATATAGATGGTAATAATGATGCCAAGGATTGAACTTGGGACTTTCTACATGCAAGGCATGTGTTCCACCACTAAGCTAAACCACACTCTGACTTTAGTTGCCCTAAGGCTCATGTATGTCTGTCTCTCTTTGGGAATTGTTTGTAGACTTTTGTATCCACTGCTGTTAAAGTGATCAGTAGCTATCTCCTCTACTCCCACCCCCACCCCCAGTTTATTTATTTTAGTTAACCATTTCCAACCACTCCATCTTAAGGTTCAGCTGAAGTGAATTATAACTTCATTAATACTTTTTCTGCAGTATACATTTCCCTTCCCTTTCATTTGTCAGAGCCAATATAGTATGTTGTAAGCATTTTCCAGTTCAGATTTATTTGGCCTGACAGTTAAAAATAAATATGAAAGTAAGCTCACTCAAGCATTGAATGCCATTGATTTAACACAGAACACATCCACTGTTCTACTCCCTTAATTACAGACGTACATATATAGGTATGCATGTGGTCACATGCTAATGCATATGTCTGTAAACATGCATGCAGGTTAATGGAAATGAAAAATACAGAGCAGATTGTTCCCCTCTTGGTGAAGTGATGTTGTTGGAAGCAAGGAAGAATTGTATATATGTACAACAATGCTCAGGCCTACTAAATTTGTGGATGTTATAGGTAGGGTATCACAATAAAAGATAAATAAATAAATAATAAAACTTATTTGTATCCTGCTTTTCTACTGTAATAGCAATCAAAGTGGCTTACATGTTAAAACAAACCAATACATTACATAAGAACAATACATGATAATATATCTTAACCCCCCCTTAAGAAAGATTAAACTTAGCACAGTTTAAAAAATATAGTCTGTTAAAATCTATTAATAGCAAATGGTCTATTGGGCAGAGAGGCAGCATAATACAAGTGTAAGGGGTTTGTTTATAGCCAATGAATTCTGTTCAGGAAAGGCCTGCCGGAAGAAGTCTGTCTTGACAGCTTTTTTGAAGCAGTTTGGACCCGTAGCCATTGCTGAAGCAATTTGAGTGTGCAGACAACTGGGAAGTTCACTTCTCTACGCTGAGGAGGGGAAAACACCAGGCAGCCTTGAGCTGTCTCACTGCTGGAATGTCTCCTTCCAGCCTCCCATGAAACAGACCATAGACAGGATTTAACTCCAAAGAGGTACATTTATTCTTCAGTTGCAGCATATACAAAGAAAACTATGTACATGCATATCCAGCACCAGCAGGAACAAAACAACAACAATAATAATAAGAGACTAGTAGAAGAAGAAAAAGAGAGAGTGCAAGCCCAGCCCACTACATACTGTGTTTTATAGACACTTGTTATGCGGCCACAGAGCCCAGCCTCTTCTTGTGATGTGTAGTCACGTGAGTTGTAGTTCTTAAAACACTTGTCTACAAGTTCTCAGACACATCCTGACCTTGTACACTGTTATGTTGTTTTGTATCCCAGCTGCAGAAAGCTCCCCCAGCTAGCAAGCTGTGTGACCTGTAGTTTCCCTTATTGTCACTTTCCCACATCTGTACATTTACACACAAGTTACATTTTCCAGCATTTACAGACTGCCAGAAATAATGCAGATTGAGGCCACTTTAACTGTCCTGGCTCAGGGCTAAGGAATCATGGGAACTGTAGTTTATTGTGGCACCAGAGCTCTCTGACAGAGAAGGCTCAATGTCCCAGAAAAAAATACAATTCCCATGATTCCCTAGCACTGAGCCAGGGCAGTTGAAGTGACCTCAATCTGCATTACTTCTGGCAGTCTGTAAAGGCCCTAAGTTGGTAAATTGATGGATCTCCTCTGGTAAGCCATTCCACAGAAGTGATTATTGTAAATAATAATAATAATAATAATAATAATAATAATAATAATAATAATAATAATAATAATAAATAATCTCCAGCACATATAGATTTTGGGACATTTCTGACTTTTATTTTAACCACGTGTGTTTTTTAAAAAATTATGTTCTAATGAACATAAACGTAAATCCTAAGAATGCTGTGTATCCTTTATAGCAGGGGTAGGCAACCTTTCCCCTTTAAGGGCCAAGGGACTTCAGCTTCCAGAATCCCAGGAGCTATTGGCCAACATGGGACTATTGGCCAACATGACTGAGGCTTCTGGGAGCTGAAGTCCCTCGGCCCTTAAAGGGGAAAGGTTGCCTACCCCTGCTTTATAGGGCTGAAGAATTGTGAACAGACTTATTAAAGAGACTATCAATCACTGTTTTTTTAGCAACTGCTTTTGGTATCAAAAATGTAATTTAAATTGGTTACAGGTGCAGTCATATAAACCATATTGTAGTGGTATGATAATACCACAGTACCTGCATAACAAAAATTAAGGCTCCTTATCGGTCACTTTAGCCTTGTGCTTTAAAGTATAAAGCTGATTAAAGTCCAAGATTGCTTAGCCGACCTGAAGTTAAAAAATTTGCATCCTTGTTTGATGGACACAAAAATAAAAGTTACCGTATTTTCCGGCGTATAAGACGACCCCCATTTTTTTTCAGTCAAAATAGAGAGTTTCAGCACCTCCATCCTCCTTATCCTTATACCCGGCGTATAAGACGACCCCCCCACTTTAACCACAGATTTTGCAGGCTAAAAAGTAGTCTTATACGCAGGAAAATAAGGTATTAAGACATTTTTCAAATGCAAAATTTTTTAAACATTAGTCAGTATGTCTATCAATAATGTTTATTTTTTTCCAGAGAGAGAAACATCATGAAGTGTCTTTGAAAGAACTAGAACACAGCCTTCAAAGATCAGAAAACCAGACCCAGAGTATCCAGAATTATGTAAAGTTTTTGAAAACCTCTTATGTAACAATGTTCGGCTGATCTTCCTCTTCTTTCTTTCCAAAATGAAGAAGCACATCTCAGGACAAAAGTTTGTGTCTGTTCATCACATTGGAGCCTTTTGTGTTTAGGATTTCCTCCACTGTGATATCTGAAAGGCATGTTTTATGTTAATTGCTAGCTACACATATCTCTAGAAAAACATTGAATGTATATCAGTTGGAAGTGGGGGGAGGGGGCACAAACAGCAAGCAAGCAAAAAGATGGGTGCTGGCATGCTAAATTTACTTGAAGTTCAGTGCTAAATGGCTTTGAAATCCAAAAGGCTATTCTGTCTTCTGTGATGTTAGGATGTTTCCTCCAACTGCTCCCAGGATATTTTTACTCTTGAATTTAGAAGAATCAGACCTTGCATCCTCTGCTGATGAATCTCAGTGCTGGTGAAAATGTAAAAGCATAGCATAGCATTTACGTTTTCTGGCCCTGTGTGTGCATGAGGAAATTTCTTTTGTGGGAATGAGAAAATCGGTAAATAGCCCCTCCACTGAAGTGATTGTGGAAGCTCACTCTTGGCAGAAAATCTGGAGCTCGCAGTCAGATGCTCACCAGATGTCTTGGACTACAGTTCCCATCATGTCTCACCATCAGCCCTGCTGGCTGGGTCTGATGGGTGTTGAGGTTCTGAACATCTGGTTGGAGGATGTTCTAAGATCTTGTTTTAAGGGCAGCATAGAGGGCCATGAAAAACCGTAATGCTGCAGAGGCTCAAGGAACATTTATTTTGATACTGTAACTTGCTGAAAATAGTCCTTCTGGCCTTAGTATGTAGTCATGTTATTCTGTCTTGTTTATCCTGCTGAATTAGAGAAGAGTCATATCAGTTGGCTCCAGATTAATCAACTGATGACAATTTAAGGAAGTATCACTAAGCTCTCCATTTATGTAGGTAGAGTTGCTAAAATCAGACATTGTGTTCCAACTTATGCCCAATATAAAGAGTTATAATGAAAAGACATGTCAGTTGCTCCTCTCCCAGAGCTGCTATTTGTGCAGTTGCCTAAACAGCAGTTACTGAAGAGGTTAGACCAGAGAAATGTCTGTCCGAAGCAAGGGAGTTAAGCCGTCTGTTCTCCAGAACCTTCTTCATCAGCACCCCACCTTCTGGTTGGTTTGAACTTTAAAAAAAATATATGAAAGATTGATTACCCATGTTCCAGTGTCTCTTATTTATGGTCCCAATGACAGCATGTGCCCCCACCCAGGCCAAATAAAATGGATTATTGGTGTCTTAAGAATACTTCTGCAGAAAAGTGTCATTTCCAAAATAAAGTTTTTGATTTTTTCTTCTTCTTGAGAACTGTAAATCATTTTCATCTAAGAAAACAGACACACAGTAATAACTTAAACATTGCTCTATTACTTGCTGTTTTGGTACTTTTTAACAGAAATTCCGAAAGGGGGGGGGGGGGGTTCGAACTTCTGTGGGTAACAGAAATGTGGATTTGATTAGGATTTCCTCTTGATGTCTGGAGAGTCAACAAATGAGAATGACTTAAAATTTAATTTTAAATTTTAAGAAATATCCCTTTTGCCTTTCCCCCACTTACCTGCACTCCATCTGCCACCTGGCAGCATATAAACTAACCTAAGGCTACATCTCATATTCCTTCTGCGCAAACAAACTTGCAAGTTGGTTATCACCATAAAATCTCTGTGGTGTGTTGCTCCAGCCAGTATTACTCACCTCCATCTTAGCCCCTCCACTAGGATTAGTTTACTCCAAGAATAAAATGGGATTGAAAAACATGCTAATTTGGTTCAACACAAGAGACCCACCAGGGAAGGGGGGACTTCAAGGAAAAAGGTGTAAAGCTTCCACATTTAATAATTGTGCTTCCCAGTGTGGGAAAGCAGTTTTCCAGCTCCCTAAATTACTCGGCCAACATGGACATTAACCTTCTGGCTGGGAGATTCTGAGAGGCATCTGTGTTGCATCTTTCCTCTTGTGTTTTTCATTGGTGGCTTGCATTTTAATACACAAAACAAATAAATAAAGGGGAATGGTGTATTTTACAATGCTTGGGAGACTTGGAATCAGGTTAGATAACATCTCAAATGGTAGTGGCGTGTATTTGATAAATATGTTCAATGATAAATATGAGGGTTGGAGCAAGTTGGGTGGTTTGTATAAAACTCCTGCTCTGAGTCTCACAAAAAACATTCCTTTTGACAGAAGACTGCCTTAAAAGATTTGAAAACTATTTC